CGGAAGGTTCCGCAGGGCCCGGAAGGCTCCGGCCAGGGAGAGGCTCCGGAACAGCTCCGAGTGCTCCGGGGGAGCCGCACTTCCCTCTGGAAAACAACGGGAAAAAACATGGAATTCTGGGAAAAACATGGGGAATTCTGGGAAAAAAATCCCAGGGGATTGTGGGAAAATTCCATTGGAATTCCTGGAAAAATCCATTGGAATTGTGGGAAAAAAATCCAAGGGAATTGTGGGAAAAACCCTGAGAATTGTGGGAAAAATCCCTTGGAATTCCTGGAAAAATCCCTTGGAATTCTGGGAAAAAAATCCCAGAGAATTCCTGGAAAAATCCCTTGGAATTGTGGGAAAAAAATCCAAGGGAATTGTGGGAAAAACCCTGAGAATTGTGGGAAAAATCCAGGGGAATTCCTGGAAAAATCCCTTGGAATTGTGGGAAAAAAATCCCAGGGAATTGGGGGAAAATTCCATTGGAATTGTGGGAAAAAATCCAGGGGAATCCTGGGAAAATTCCATGGAATTGTGGGAAAAATTCCAGGGAATTCTGGGAAAAAAATCCACAGGAATTGTGGGAAAAATCCAAGGGAATTGTGGGAAAAACCCTGAGAATTGTGGGAAAAATCCAGGGGAATTCCTGGAAAAATCCCTTGGAATTGTGGGAAAAAAATCCCAGGGAATTGGGGGAAAATTCCATTGGAATTGTGGGAAAAAATCCACAGGAATTCTGGGAAAATTCCATGGAATTGTGGGAAAAATTCCAGGGAATTCTGGGAAAAAAATCCAAGGGAATTGTGGGAAAAACATCCAGGGGATTGTGGGAAAATTCCATGGAATTGTGGGAAAAATTCATGGAATTCTGGGAAAAAACCCTGGGAATTGTGGGAAAAACATCCAGGGGATTGTAGGAAAATTCCATGGGAATTCCTGGAAAAATCCATTGGAATTTTGAGGAAACTCCATGGGAATTGTGGGAAAAAAAATCCATGGAATTGTGGGAAAAAATTCCAGCGGGATTCTGGGAAAATTTCATGGAATTAATGGGAAAATCCCTTGGAATTCTGGGAAAAATTCCATGGAATTATGGGAAAAATCGAATGGAATTCTGGGAAAAATCCCTTGGAATTGGGGGAAAATTTCATGGGAATTTTGGGAAAAAAATTCCATTGGAATTGTGGGAAAAACTCCAGGGAATTCTGGGAAAAATTGGAATTCCTCCCCAAAAAAAATCCCTGAAAATTCCAAAAAAAACAAAACAAAAATTCCATCAAAATTCCCAAAAATCCTCTTAAAATTCCCAAAAAATCCTTGGGAATTACAAAAAAAAAAATTCCCTCAGAATTCCCAAAAAATCCCTGAAAATTCCCCAAAAATTCCCTGAAAATTCCCAAAAAATTCCCCAAAAATTCCCTGAAAATTCCCAAAAAATTCCCTGAAAATTCCCAAAAATTCCCAGAACCCTCTGGAATTCCCAGGAACCCTCTGGAATTCCCAAAAATCCCTCAGAATCCCCAGAAAAAATCCTTCAGAATTCTCAAAAAAATCCCCAAAAAAATCCCTTAAAATTAAATAAAAATCCCAAAAAAATTCCCAAAAATTTCCAAAAAAATTCCCAAAAATTCCCAACCCCCTCTGGAATTCCCAGGAACCCTCTGGAATTCCCAAAAATCCCTCTGAATCCCAAAGAAAATCCCTAAAAATTCCCCAAAAAATCCCAAAAAATTCCCCAAAAAAATCCCTTAAAATTCAAAAAAAATCCCCAAAAAATCCCCCAAAAATTCCAAAAAATTTCAAAAAATTCCCAAAAAATTCCCAAAAATTCCCAGAACCTTCTGGAACTCCCAGAACCCTCTGGAATTCCCAGGAATCCCTGAAAATTCCCCCAAATCCCTCAGAATCCCCCCAAAAAATCCCTCGGAATTCCCAAAAAATTCCAAAAAAATCCCTTAAAATTAAAAAAAAAATCTCCAAAAAATTCCAAAATATTCCCAAAAAATTCCCAAAAATTCCCAGAACCTTCTGGAACTACCAGACCCCTCTGGAATTCCCAAAAATCCCTCAGAATCCCCAAAAAAATCCCAAAAAATTCTCAAAAAAATCCAAAAAAAATCCCCAAAAAATCCAAAAAAAATCCCCAAAAATTCCAAAAAATCCCCCAAAAATTCCCAGGACCCCCTGGAATTCCCAGGAATCCCTGAAAATTCCCCAAAATCCCTCAGAAATCCCCCAAAAAATCCCAAAAAATTCTCAAAAAAATCAAAAAAAAATCCAAAAAAAATCCAAAAAAATTCCCAAAAAATCCCAAAAAAATTCCCAAAAAAAATCCTCTAAAATTAAAAAAAAAATCCCCCAAAAATTCCAAAAAATTCCCAAAAATCCCAAAAAATCCCAGGAATCCTCTGGAATTCCCAGGAATCCCTGAAAATTAAAAAACAAATTTCCCCAAAAAAATCCATCAAAATTCCCAAAAAAAACCCCCAAAAATTCCCAAAAAATCCCAAAAAATTCCCCAAAAATCCCAAAAAAATCCCAAAAAATTCCCCAAAAATTCCCAGAACCTTCTGGAACTCCCAGGACCCCCCTGGCACCGTCTCTCACCGGGGGTGGTGACGGTGACGTCGCTGGGGAGGCTCCGCAGGGGGTCCCGGTAGCGAAGCCGCGCTCGGAATTCCGGGAATTGCCGGGGGATTTTCCCGGGAATTCGGTAGCGGAAGCTCAGGAGGTTGAAGAGGGAATTGTGGGAGGGAATTCCTTGGATGAACTCGGAAAATTCCTCCTGGGAAAAGGAAAATCGGGAATGTGGAGGGGTTTTTTTGGGAATTTTAGGGGAAAATTTGGGGTTTTTAAGGGGAAAATTGGGAATTTTGGGGAGAAAATTGGGGATTTTGGGGAAGAATTGGGAATTTTAGGGAAAAAATTGGGAATTTTTGGAGGAAAATTGGGAATTTTAGGGAGAATTTTGGAAGAAATTTGGGAATTCTGGGAGGAAATTTGGGAATTTTGGGGAGAAAATTGGGAATTTTGTCCGACATTTGAGAATTTGAGACAGAAATTTGGGAATTTTGTCTGAAATTTGGGAATCTCAGACAGAAATTTGGGAATTTTGGGCAAAATTGGGTGGGTTTGGGGCAGAAATTTGTGAATTTGTGGAAAAATTTGGGAATTTGGACAGAAGTTTAGGAATTTGGGCAGAAAATTGGGATTTGGGGGCAGAAATTTGGGAATTTTGGGACAAATATGGGAATTTTGGGCAGAAATTTGGGAATTTGGGCAGAAATTGGGGAATTTTGGGCAAAATTGGGTGGTTTTGGGGCAGAAATTCGGGAATTTGAGACAGAAATTGGGGAATTTTGGGACAAATATGGGAATTTTGGGCAGAAATTTGGGAATTTGAGACAGAAATTTGGGAATTTTAACAGAAATTTTGGAATTTGGGCAGAAAATTGTGAATTTTTGTCACAAATTTGGGAATTTTGTCAGAAATTTGGGAATTCAGGGCAGAAATTTGGGAATTTTGTCAGAAAATTGGGATTTGGGGGCAGAAATTTGGGAATTTTGGGACAAATATGGGAATTTTGGGCAGAAATTTGGGAATTTTTGTCAGAAATTTGGGAATCTCAGACAGAAATTTGGGAATTTTGTCCAAAATTTGGGAATTTGAGAGAGAAACTTGAGAATTTTGTCAGAAATTTGGGAATTTGGGGGAGAAATTCGGGAATTTGAGACAGAAATTGGGGAATTTTGGGGAGAAATTTGGGAATTTTGTCTGAAATTTGGGAATTTGAGACCGAAATTTGGGAATCTCAGACAGAAACTTGGTAATTCAGGGCAGAAATTTGGGAATTTGTGGAAAAATTTGGGAATTTGGGCAGAAATTTTGGAATTTGAGCAGAAATTGGGGAATTTTGTCAGAAATTTGGGAATTTCGTCAGAAATTTGGTAATTCAGGGCAGAAATTTGGGAATTTTGTCCGAAATTTGGGATTTGTGGGCAGAAATTTGGAAACTTTGTCCAAAATTTGGGGATTTCTGCGTCGCTCCCCCCTCTCCCCGTATCCAAACCCCCGGGAGATCCCGAATCCATGGGGAGAATTCCCGGGATTCCCGGAATTCCCGGGCTCACCCGGAGCTGCCGGAGCTGCTCCCTGCGCGCCACGAAGGCGTTGAGGTGCTGGAACAGAAGCACCAGGAACTCCCGGAGCTGTCGGGGCAGGAAGCGCCGGGCCAGGAGCTGCAGGGGGATGAAGGGAGGGATGGAATGGCGGCGGATGCGGAAATCCGGGAATTCCGACACTTCCAGCCGGAAGGAATCCAGGAATGAACCCTCGAAGGATGTGTGGAAGGAGAAGGAAATTCCGGGATGGGAGAAATTCCCGCTGATTCCTGCGAGAGAAAAGGGGGGAAAAGGGAATGAGAGGGGGGGAAAAATCTGGGAAAAGTCCTGGAAAAATCCGGGAAAAGTCCAGGAAAAATCTGGGAAAAGTCCTGGAAAAATCCGGGAAAAGTCCAGGAAAAGTCCTGGAAAAATCCGTGAAAAATCCGGGAAAAGTCCTGGAAAAATCTGGGAAAAATCTGGGAAAAGTCCAGGAAAAATCTGGGAATAATCCAAGAATTATCTGGGAATTTTCTGGGAATTTTTTTGGGATTTTTTGGGGAATTTTTTGGGATTTTTTGGGGAATTTTTTTGGAATTATCTGGGAATTGTTGGGGATTTTTTTGGGAATTTTCTGGGAATTTTTTGGGATTTTTTTGGGATTTTTTTTGGAATTTTCTGGGAATTATCAGGGAATTTTCTGGGAATTATCTGGGAATAATCTGGGAATTTTCTGGAAATTATGCAGAAATTTTCTGGGAATTTCCTGGGGATTTTTTGTGATTTTTTTTTTTTAATTATCTGGGAATTTTCTGGGATTTTTTTTTTTAAATTTTCTGGGAATTTTCTGGGAATTTTTTTTGATTTTTTGGGGAATTTTCTGGGAATTATCTGGGAATGACCTGGGAAATTCCTGGGAAAAATCCAGGAAGGAGCTGGGAAAAATCCGGGAATGAGCCAGGAAAAATCTGAGAATAATCCAAGAATTATCTGGGAATTTTCTGGGGATTTTCTGGGATTTTTTTTGGAATTTTCTGGGATTTTTCTGGGAATTATCCAAGAAAAATCAGGGAATTTTCTGGGAATTATCAGGGAATTTTTTGGAATTTTCTGGGAATTTTCTGGGAATTCTTGGGGGGTTTTTTGGGAATTTTTTGGGATTTTTTTTGGGGAATTTTCTGGGAATTTTGGGGGGTTTTTTTTTGAATTTTCTGGGAATTTTTTTGGAATTTTCTAGGAATTTTTTGGGATTTTTTTTAATTATCTGGGAATTTTCTGGGAATTATCTGGGAATTTCCTGGGAATTTTTTGGGAATTTTTGGGGGAATTTTCTGGGAATTTTTTGGGATTATTTTTTTTTAAATTTTCTGGGAATTTTCCGGGAATTATCAGGGAATTTCCTGGGAATGACCCAAGAAAAATCAGGGAATTTTCTGGGAATTATCTGGGAATAATCTGGAAATTATCTGGGAATTTTCTGGGAATTTTTGGGGATCTTTTTGGGAATTTTCTGGGAATAATCAGGGAATAATCAGGGAATTTTCTGGGAATTTTCTGGGAATTTTCTTGGATTTTTTGGGAAATTTTCTGGGAATTATCTGGGAATTATCTGGGAATAATCTGGGATTTTTTTTTTTAATTTTCTGGGAATTTCCTGGGAATTTTGGGGGATTTTTTTGGGAATTTTCTGGGAAAAATCCAGGAATGAGCCAGGAAAAATCTGGGAATTTCTTGGAAATTATTCAAGAGATATCAGGGAACAATCTGGGAATTTTCTGGGAATTATCTGGGAATAGAGCCAGGAAAAATCCAGGAAAAATCTGGGAATGAGCCGGGAATTATCCGGGAATAATCCAGGAATTATCTGGGAATAATCCACAAAAAATCCCCCCCAGAATTCCCAAATTTCCCCAGAATTCCCAAATTCCCCCCAGAATTCCCAAATTTCCCCTGCAATTCCCACTTTTCCCCCAGAATTCCCAAATTTCCCCTGGAATTCCCACAGAATTCCCAATTTTCCCCCAAAATTCCCAAATTCCCCCCAGAATTCCCAAATTCCCCCCAGAATTCCCCCAGAATTCCCAAAATTCTCCGGAAATTCACACTTTTACCCCAGAAATCCCAAGAAATTCCCAAATTCCCCCTGGAATTCCCGAATTCCCCCAGAATTCCCAAATTTCCCTGGGAATTCCCTCAGAATTCCCCCCAGAATTCCCAAATTTCTCCAGAAATTCACACTTTTACCCCAGAATTCCCAAATTTCCCCCAGAATTGCCAAATTTCCCTGGGAATCCCCAAATTTCCCCCAGAATTCCCCCCAGAATTCCCAAATTCCCCCAGATTTCCCCCAGAATTCCCAAATTCCCCCCAGAATTCCCAAGTTTCCCCCAGAATTCCCAAGGAATTCCCACTTTTCCCCCAGAATTCCCCCAGAATTCCCAAATTTCCCCCGGAATTCCCAGATTCCCCCCAGAATTCCCAAATTCCCCCCAGAATTCCCCCAGAATTCCCGAATTTCCCCCAGAATTCCCAAATTCCCCCAGAATTCCCCCAGAATTCCCAAATTCCCCCAGAATTCCCATGGAATTCCCAAATTTCCCCCAGAATTCCCATGGAATTCCCAAATTTCCCCCAGAATTCCCCCAGAATTCCCAAATTTCCCCCAGAATTCCCAGATTCCCCCCAGAATTCCCCCAGAATTCCCAAATTTCCCCCAGAATTCCCAAGGAATTCCCACTTTTCCCCCTGAATTCCCCC